ACGGTGCACGGGGCAAGAGTCGCCGCTTCCGATGCGTGGCTTCGTGCCGGAAGCGGAAGTGGATCTGGTGTCGGCAAAGGACACATGCAGCTGCTGCGTGTGCGTGTGCAGGCGCGTAATAAAGGACGTAAGTGCATCATGTGGTTAATACACTTTAATTGCACTGTTGCCAATGGTGGCCAGCAGCACCAGCGACTACATCGACTGCTACGGTGGCACCTCAAACCTCGTTCCTCGTGCCTGCGCCATTTAACTTGATTAAAGTGTGCATTTGGATTACGTTGTGCAGCACTTCTAAACTGTGCAACAAAAGGTGCTTGGGGGTCGAACCCTAAAACGTAATATCCACCAGTAAAATCAACTGGAAAAGCCAGTAAATCTACGACACACAAAGGAAATGTCCCTCTCCATTCGCCCGCTCGCTCGACAATTCCCTGGCGTGCAATGAAAGCGTTAATAAATTTCATGAGTTCCCGCATAAAAACTTTCCTCTCTTTCTGGCTCACTCTCTCTATATCTCTCTCTCTCACTCTTTTAGTGGCCTTCTGCCGCGCTTTGAAATGCAAATTCTGATTCCTGTGCAGCATCACTCCTCTGTCCGCCTGCTGCCACCCGGGAACCTCGTCTTGGGCGTCCATTGAAAAATTTAAATCACATTTACAATCAGATTAAATCTCAATGAGCATTGGGCTAAAATTCAAATGCCATTCTGCCATCAGACCGCACAAATATTGTCACAGAGAAATCAAGGCCGGCAGCAAAGTCACCGCAGTTAGGCAGTCAGGCAGCCCCAAGCATATGGCACACACAACAAATGTTTCCCCACTCCAATCTTGCTGCTTTTCTGTTGTAACTATTTATTTAAAAACACGGCAGCAAATGCCAGGCAACACGAAAATGTTGCATTGAATTAACATTTAGAGAGCGCAAAAAAAGGTGTCGTGTACGGCAAAAAACATGAACAAAATGCTGCTGCAGTGGGGTTTGCGACTAAAAGATGCCCATTACATGCATAAATAAATGTATATTTAAGGATTCTGCCTCCAGCCTGTTATTCTTCACGATACACTGGGAAATTTCACAGCAAAAAGAACAGCGCTGCATGTTTCACATTTTTAATGTTCTCGGAAAAAATGAGAAAAACTTGGTGAGGGGGACTAAAAATAAAACAGAAAACAAACAAACAAAGCATAAATAAATGCAAATAATTTAAAATGAATACATTTAAAGTAAGCCAAAGTGTTGACAGTGGAAAAGTTTTCTCCTGCGGCAATTTGCATAAAAAACTTATTATGGATTTTTAGTTGCCCGCGTGCAAGTTTTGCTCTCCAACAATGAGAGCGGACAGAGAACCACTCCAGGGAGTGGTAAAAAACTACCAAATGAACGAATTGATTCCAGTCAATTAGGTGAATATTCACTTAAAAGTCGACAATTAAAAATATATTCATTTAACACAGTTTTAATCACATCAACTTTAATTCCGTGGCAAAAACAAGAACAGTCTGGAAGAGTTCTGGAACGGCTCTGTCCCTGTGTCGCTGACTGTTTTGCCAAGATAAGAAAAAATAATGTAGAGCAATTTATTTGTATTTATCATTATTTGTGTGTTTTTTTTTTTGATTTGTCGAGACACACACAACATCAATAAATCAATTGTGGCAATATCCATGCACAGACAGCCAGATAAATAGAGAGCTGTAGACTTGCACCCAAAATTGAACAATTCCAAAGATAGGAAAAGGAAAAGTTGAACAAATTTTAGCTGCTATTGTGCTGCTAGGTGTGTTTTTTGTGGGTAATAATTACAGCTATATTTTGTACTATCTGCTACTTTTCTCTACGCTTTCAATATGCCTTCAATTTTATTCCGCTTAAATTTAAACACATGAAAGTTCCCTTTTAAAGCTTCACTGCAACTGCATGGTGTCAACTCCTACTGGCATGCGGCACTTTTGTATGCTATACCCCAATGCAATGCTCTTTTCCGAATGCACTTTGAAAATTAAAAGACCTATTGTGCGTGCCCGTCTAGACCGCGTCGCTATTTGCATTCGACGCTGCTGCAAACAAAGGAAATGACAGCAGCCACGGCCAGGGTAAACAATGGACAACAATAATCCAACGTTGACTCTGCATGCCACCCACTCCTGCTGCTGCATGATGACAGTTATGCCGTTTTTAATGACAGTCGAACAGCAGCTGGGGAAGCGAGTATTTAAAGGCAAACAGCCACCCGTCGTGCGCCCCCTCATAAGTCGTATAAATCATTGCGCTTTTGGGTCTCTCGTGTAATGAAAATGCTTAACAGCTACTTGAAAGCCGTAACCTGAACCTGAACAGGACAGGACAGGACAGGGCAGAACAGAAGCCGGCTCACAATGCCACTCGAAGTGCATTACATGACTCAACCAGCACTTCAGAGGGACAGAGAGAGAACTCCGGTGTAGAGAGCACTCCTTTTCCACATTGAAAACCATCAACCGAGAATGATGTGACACCAGCAGCAGCAGCAGCAGCAGCAGAGACAACCCAATCTGATCCTTCATGCAATACAAAAGGAGAAGGAGCAAATGGAGCCACTGACTGTGACTTGTGGCTTACCGCGGTGGCTGTCAGAACAAATAAAATGGCTGCCCACATTCAAATTAGCACTTGTCGCCTGTTAAATTTGCACTTGACTCTGCCTCAGAGTTTCAGTGGGGGGGGGAGGGAGGGCCTCCCGAGAGCAAAGCCGCATCCAAGTTGAGTGCCACAGATGCGCCTGGCAGGCGGCGGGATACCAGCATTCGGTTTGGCGTGGCTCCCCACCAAAAGTTGGCCCTGTCGTCTGCCCTGCACTTTTGATAAATCGTTCGAGTTGCCTGTCGCGACTTTACCATAAAAGGTGCCTAGCAGCACATTGTTTAAACTTGTAACTTATAAATCTTGTTTGGTGTAACGCATGATATATGAGAGCTACACATACGAGGGGAAATCATCATCATCATCATCGTCTCTCCGCCGCCAGAGTTCTCTTTTTCTCTACGTTGATAAACATGTCACTGACTCTTTTGGCAGCAACTTTTTCAAAATAAAACCAAGCAAAGGAACGGAATGTGTGGCGTTAATTAGGAGAATTTAAATTTTGCACTCTTTATCCAATATTCCTCAGCTGATAGCGCACTCGCAACGATCCATTTAACCATCCACTCAAAGGGGAAGCAGGTAAACCCCTTGCGCTGATAACTAAATTTCATGGAAATTGGGAATTATTATAACAACTATTTATCAGCAACAATTTGTGCTATCAGTTCTCGGAAGCGGCTCAGTGTTCTTAGAGTGAAAAATATTCAAAAAAATGGGCGTATAATCGACAGATTAAAATCATTATTCAAGTGCCACTTCACATTGATTTAATAAAACACGCACGATATGTGGCCAGATCGTCTGCAGGGCCATGCCACGGCCAATATCAAGTGATTCAGCAGCTCTAAATTAGGTTCTTATATCACATATCACAGAGCGAGAGATAAGACATGGAGCAGACTGTCAGACCCCAGCTGAGGGGGGTGAAATGCTTATCAGCGGCAGCCTCATGGAACATGTCGACTGATTGGGAGACGTTTTACCCTGCAACACAACAGCCACGCATCTAACCCACGTAATGTGGAGACACGAAAGATGGATATTGGCTCTGCTGAAGCCAATTAGCAGCGAATTTGCCATGTTTTCTCCTACAATATCTTATCGGAGTGCAACTTCCGTGGTACAGGGGAAGCTGGCATTGCCATTCCGTATAAAAGGGGCCTGCAAGCGGCAGTAACACCAAATTGAAGAGCAATAATCATATAATAAAGATGCATCTGTACACACGAGTTATCCTGCTGGCCGTGACCCTCTTCAGTGTGAGTTGCAGCGACAAAGCAGCTACAAATGAGACACTTCAACTCCTGTTTTCTTATATGTAGGTCAACGCTGCCCATTTCGGAGGTGATGCTGCCCTCGAGCAGGTCCTGTTCCGCATGGTCGAGGGACAGATGGAGTCTCGGGCGCTGTCCCCTGCTGGCCAGGCCTGCTCCAGCAACTATGTGAACGCAACCACCAAGAACAGCGAGAAGCTCGCCAATGCCACCAATGCGTGCGAGGATGCCGCCAACAGCACCACTGTGGCCAACAACAGGAACAGCAATGCCACCGTGCTCATCATCCGCAACCAGCTGCTGTCCCTCGAGCAGAATCTGCAGCTCTGCCGCAACGAGACCGACTCCGCCCGCTTCATCAACTGTACCGTGTCCACTGTGCGTGTTTATTCTTTACTCTCAATCTAGTGTCAGTCCCTGATGATCTCCTCTTTTTACAGTTCGACAAGAACCTGCAGCTGCTGGACTCCTCCAACTCGCAGGCCTACCAAACTCAGTCACAGTTTGCCTCGAACGCCACCGTTGTGCAGGCCACACGTTCCAACTGCATTAGCGCTGCCGTCAGCGATGCCAAGGTGCTGGCCATCCAGGCAGCCAACGATTTTGACACTTGCGTGGCCAAGATTCCCGCACAGCGAGTGATCTCGGAGAAGCCCAAGGAGCAGGAGAAGAAGGGGCAGAAGCCAGTGCAGCAGCAGCAGCAACAGGATCAGAAGCCAGTGCAGCAGCTGACACAGCAGCAGCAGCAGCAGCAGCAGCAGTTGACATCCGCTGTCGAGAATTTGCCAGTGAATAATTAGACTTTCGATGAACAATTAAAGTTTTCAACTTTTTAAATGCATTTTCCCCCCTCTTGTTGTGTTCGATGACTGATCGGGAAGTTGGTTTTTCCGAGATGGGGTTTCCGGGGATTTCCTTCTGGCCATTACTCAGCGGCCAACGCTCTACTCAACGTTGGGCTATAAAACTGTTTATCAGCTGACAATGCATTGTTATCAACAGTTAAACTGATTGTGGCAGCCCCAAAACAATTATAGATAAATTCACTTAATGAAAAAAAGTGAAAATAAATAATCAATTTTGAAGTGGAAGTCGCTTTAAAATGGTCAGCGGATGCCAGGGGCCGACTCAGAAACGATTCGAAGTGCCTTGATGGAGGTTCTTTGCAAAATATTAGCAGTGTGCACGCTGCTCGTCAGTGCCCAGGTGAGCGGAGAGCGCACAGCCAAGACCCACTAGAAAGTTATGAACCAACAGGCGATTCTCATAGGCGTTCGTGGCAGTGGAGCCAGCCAGCTCCAGCTCCAGCGAGCTGTCCTGGAAGTCACTTTTCTTTGATGCCCTCGTGGGAAACTCCGATGAGTTGCAGGCTGCAGAATCCCTGGGTAGCCTTGAGGAGTGCACGGCCATCTACACGGTGGAAAATGTCGAGATCCTCCTAAGTGCCGGCTACAAGATTCGCCGCTGCATCAAGGTCGCTGAGAAGGACATTCGTAGGGACCTGAAGGATGCCACCCACAAAAAGAAGGAATTCGAGCGGGAGCTGCGCTCCTGCACCAGCCGCGATTGCTACGTGGACTCGGTAAGTGGAAGAGTGATTGCCTTCCCCATCTCCCACCGATGGCTGACTCTAGCGACTCTCATCTCATGCAGATCATGAACCTGTTCAGTTCCGTCCGCCTCAGCCGTCACGACTACAGGCGCAGCAGGCACTGCATCCTCAAGGAGGTGGAACAGGCTCTCGTTCAGCTGGACAGGGCGTCCATCGTCCTTGCCTTTTGCCTCGCAGACCAGCAGCCACCCCAGAACAGCACTCTGTCCCCGCCCATCTGGAATACGACTCACACCACTCCCAACTGGAACTGGAACACCACTTCCGGTCCAAATTTGAACACCACCGAAGGCCCGTGGTGGAACAACACAACCGCTGGACCAAATTGGAATACAACTGAGGGTCCCTGGTGGGGAAATACTACCTCCGGTCCGAACTGGAACACAACCGAAGGTCCCTGGTGGGGAAATACCACTTCCGGTCCGAACTGGAATACAACCGAAGGTCCATGGTGGAACAATACCACCCAAGGTCCCTGGTGGAACAATACCACCGAAGGTCCGTGGTGGGGTAATACCACTTCCGGTCCAAATTGGAATACAACTGAGGGTCCCTGGTGGGGAAATACTACATCCGGTCCAAACTGGAACACAACCGAAGGTCCGTGGTGGGGTAATACCACTTCCGGTCCAAATTGGAATACAACTGAGGGTCCCTGGTGGGGAAATACTACATCCGGTCCAAACTGGAACACAACCGAAGGTCCCTGGTGGGGTAATACCACTTCCGGTCCAAACTGGAACACAACCGAAGGTCCGTGGTGGGGTAATACCACTTCCGGTCCAAACTGGAACACAACCGAAGGTCCGTGGTGGGGAAATACTACATCCGGTCCAAACTGGAACACAACCGAAGGTCCCTGGTGGGGTAATACCACTTCCGGTCCAAACTGGAATACAACCGAAGGTCCGTGGTGGGGTAATACCACTTCCGGTCCAAATTGGAATACAACTGAAGGTCCCTGGTGGGGAAATACTACATCCGGTCCAAACTGGAACACAACCGAAGGTCCGTGGTGGGGAAATACTACATCCGGTCCAAACAGGAACACCACCGAAGGTCCGTGGTGGGGTAATACCACTGCCGGTCCAAATTGGAATACAACTGAGGGTCCCTGGTGGGGAAATACTACATCCGGTCCAAACTGGAACACAACCGAAGGTACCTGGTGGGGTAATACCACTTCCGGTCCGAACTGGAATACAACCGAAGGTCCATGGTGGGGTAATACCACTTCCGGTCCAAACTGGAACACAAACGAAGAGCCATGGGGGGGGAATACCACTTCCGGTCCCAACGGGAACACAACCGAAGAGACAGGATGGG